TTATTTTTTCCCCTTCATTTTTTCCTGTTCATCTAAACAAGAGGACTGATTTTCTTTCTAGTTTTCTTTTATAAACTAAATTTAATTTTTAATTTAAGCCTGAGGCCTGAAAGAAAAAAAAAATCGAGACATTTAACTACGAAACCGTTTTTCCTGCTCAAAAAAATTCAAATTTGCATAAAAAACATGACTAAAAAATACAGTGTATCTGCATTTAGAAAAATGTCATTTTAAAATATCATGAGCAAATAAGAGATGAATTGATTGATAATTAAGTAGGTGAATTGTGATTTTGATTTTATATAATAGATTAATTAATATAACTTTATGATGAACATTATAATATTAGATGAATTTTTATCATCACATCGTATCTTTTAATATCTCAATTATCTTATAATATCTCCTATTATCATCAAATTTGTAAATTTTGATTAGACCGGAGTTATGAATTTATGTGTAGAAATATTTAGGGTGTACCGTGATGATGGAAATTAAAGAAAGCGTTTTTATTCTCTCCAGGTAATTTTGTTTATTCCACCTTATATTATTATCTCTTTCTTTGTTTTATAGTTTCGATTATTTATAATATACTTAATATTAATATTAATATTTTTGAAAAAAACTTAATCAAAAACTCAATATCTAAAGTTTGACTCAGTACAAGTCAATTTTTATAGTTTTGACTTGGTTAAAATTTTTGTCTTAAACTTTAACCCTTGCAATTCATTCCTTATAATTTTATATTTTAATTTATTTAACACACATGTTTAAAATTAAAATTATAAAAAATAAATTTATTATTAAATTTTATGGAATAATGTTTAAGATGGCATAATTTTTTTTGAAAAAGCTTATATTCTTAATATTATATATTTAAAATATTTGTTTCCAATTAAATCAAGATATATTTATAGATTATTTATTTCATAATAAATTCTTGTTAATAATATTACCAACACATTAAAATTTATTTGTCTTGATTTGATTGAATAAAATTATATTGAGTATATAATTCTAAATGTATAAGTTTTGCCCATTTTTCTGGAGACTTTAATGTTATTTTCCTTATAAAAAATCTATGTTTCCTATTAAAAGAATTATTCAAATTTGCATATAAACAAATAATTCGAAAAAAATACACCATTAATGTGCATTTAAAAATGTCCTTTTAAAATAAATAAATAAGAGATGAACAGTTGATGGATGGTTTGATATGATATAATATATTAATTAATATTCTTTTATTATAAATATTATGATATTACATTAATGTCTATTATCTTAATGTATCTTTTAATATCTTAATTTTGATTAATGAGAGGTGAATAGTTGATTGATGATTTTGATTAGACTATAATATTCTTTTATTATAAAACTTCTCAGCTGTATTGTGAGTTGTGGCAATGAAAATATAAGAAAGTTCTCTTAAAATTTGTTTGATTATTTTTTTAGAATAATTTTTTTCTGAAAAATTAAAAAGCCGTTTAAAAATATATTTTCTATTATCTGTTTTAAAAAACAAAAAAATTTAAAAGTTATTATGAAAAGTAAAAGTTTGAACATTTTTTTACTCTGTTACTTTTTGTTTTTCAAATTTGAAGAAAAAAATATCATGTTTTTATTAAGGATACTTATATTTATAAAATAAATAATAATTTCCCCTTTTATTCTCTCCTTTTAATTTTTTCTATCTCTTTATTCGTTTCATCTTTTACGGCTTTGATAATGTGAAAAAGAATTGAACTGACCCCACAAGGACTTTAGATAGAGAGTCAAACTTTATTGCTGAAGTTACTTCCGAGCAACGCGACACTTTGCATTATGGAGTAACTCACAAAACCAACACTTTCAAAGTAAAGCTGAATCACTCGGCCTTCTTCGCACCAACGAACACTAAAAAATATGGCTTAAGACGCTGCCTCTGATCTTCTCCTGTCAGCTCTGTTTCACGAGGATAAAGACGACGATCACACCCCTTTTACCGATGATGAATTTGCTCAACGCTTGCAGTTTCAGGAAACCCTCTACTCCTCCTTGATCACTTCCCAAAACCCACAAAATGATCTGTCGTCGTCGTCATCTTCATCTTCTTCTTCTTCGCTCCTTTTATCTTGATCTTCATCATCGTCTTTTCCTTTAAAAATGGCTGACACTTGCCCTACCCCAGAAACCGAGCCCGTGAAATCCTCAAATGAAGCTTGTGAATTGTAGCAAGTCATCTACGAGACCTGTGCAGAAAGTAAAAAGACTTCCCAGATGTTCAGAAATCAGAGATGCCACCCCTCGTTTTGCTCTGATTGTGTTGCAAAACAAGTGGCCACAAAAATTCAGGACAGCATTGCAGTAGTTTCGTGTCCTGGTTTGGATTGTAAAAGTGATATTGGGCTAGACGCTTGTCGGCCATGGCTTCCCAAGGACTTGCTTCACAGGTGGGATCAGGCTCTGTGTCAAGCTGTGTTTCTGGCAGCCCCTATATATTACTGTCCCTTCCAGGATTGTTCAGCTATGTTACTGATTGAGAATGAGGAAGAAGATCATCAACAAGATATAGGGGAAGCAGAGTGCCCTGTTTGCCAAAGACGGTTCTGTGCAAGATGTAATGTGGCATGGCATCCTTAAGTTGAGTGTGAGGAATTGCAGAAACTGGAAGAGAATGAGATAGTGAGGGAAGATCTGGTTGTGAGAGAGCCTGCTAAAGAGAAGAAATGGAGAAGGTTTCCACAGTGTAGCTGTGTAGGCTCTTTGCGGAGAGGATTGATGGATGCTTGCACATCACTTGCATGTCAGTTTTCTTGCTGCTACTTCATACTGAAGCAATCACACTTCAACTAACTGTGTATGAGAAAGTTCTTGCCTCTGGCTTACTAGTTTTGGTTGACAGGTAACTAACAACCCGGGTCAAACTTTTTTGTCTGTTTTAAAATTTTAGAGATTAGGTAGTGAAAGAATATACTTCACTTCACATGATGAGAATGTGTTTTTCTCCTCTTACTTAATATGAACGAGTTTGTTGATAGAATTTGATTTTGCAGGCGCCAGCATGAGTTTTGCTAGGGGTGTGGAGAACAATGGACTTCTTCTCGTATCTGTATGTTGCCAAGTGAAGTTGGGGATGGAGGAGGAAGATTGAGAAGCCTCAGTGTCGAACCTGAAGGTTCTGGTTGATCTGTCCCACCAGTTTCCAGCTGCTTGAAATTGATCTTCCGCCATGGCTGGTTAATGAAAATGGTGGTGGGTAGATGTTCTTGTCAAGAGCATCAGATTCTTGTTTTGTGAGAAGAAAATGAATTTAAAACCATCCAATTCTTTCTCTATCAGTGTCAGAATAATGCTGATCATTGTCAACACTAAACCGATGATTCAAATCTGAGTAGAAGAGTAGCTAGATGAGGTGGGGGTGTGAACACCGAACCGGTCGGTTCCAATTCCCTTGACGCCATAGCAGCCATCCAATTTATGCTATCACAGATTCCTCCTCCCTTGTACAGTTTATGCTGTATTTGATTGAGGTTATTTATGTCATTTTACTCAAAAATTTAATTCCAATTTAGTCCAAGTGAAACGTTCCAGAATTTAGAGGAGTTACTGCCAAGAAATTTAGTTAGGGAATGCAGTGAAATTTTCCCTAAACACTTTTGCTAGATTGAACTTTTTTGATAAATCCGGCTTCATCGTTTTAGCAGTATATTGATAATAACTGAAGCCTTTCTGACTTTTTTTTTTTTGGCACAAAAGCCTTTCTGGCTCAGTTTCTTCCAAAGCACGCATCTCAATCTTTATATATGATCATCAGTAAAGTAGAGCTGAACTTTACTTTGTCTTCTTCTTTACATCTTTATAACCTTACCGTACACTCCCATGGCTCAAGACTCTTTCTTTGATCTTCTCTACGAATTGTTCTTCTTGTTTTCTTTCTTCTTCACTTTTGTTGCCACTGAACTTCTCTGCGTTGAATACCCATCTTTCTCTGCTCTGTTTTTCCAACATGAACATGATCAACATGTCCCATTCACTGATGATCGTTATTGATAGGGACGCGGAAGCAGAATCGTGCTAGTTTAGGGACAGAACCCTGAAACAACAAAAACACAAGAACAAAAAAAGAAAGGGACGAAATTTATGACGGAAATAAAGAAAGGTATGAAGTAAACAATAGGATAATGATCAAGGAGAAGATCCTCTAGAGCACCTGCCTCTAGGAACCTCAACCTTCAAAGACACCACAAGAGTTGATCACGCTCTTGATCACGTCGGTTTCTCACACGGGATACCACCACAAAGCACTAAGGCTCACAAGAGTTATAAACTCTAAAATGAATAATTTCATTCAACTTCTGTGTCTTACAATAGGGAGCATGCCTAATTTATATAGGCTTATAAAAAAATATTTCCTAAAATTAAAACCCTAATTTCCTAATACTAAAAGGAGAAATAATGATAAAATATTTAGCCACATAATTTAGGAGATGTGATCCTAAAATTATGGGATTACAAAATTTAGAAATTAATATTATAATTAATTCTAACCTTTGACTAGACTCAAAATAGAAAATCAAATCAAAGGACCATTAAAATAGGAAATAATTTAGGAGACAATCAAGGGATCATAAAGGATTTGAAATCACGCCACTCTTGACTTCTTTACTAGGGTTTCATGTCTCCTTGCATGCAAGAGGCTCAACTTGTAGTCTTCCTTGCATTGGGCTAAGGTATGCATCTCTTGGGCTTGACTCTTCATGAGTTTGTATCTTAAATACATTATACACATATAGATGCTCTCCTTTGGACTTGAGGGGAGTGCCCCAATGCTCTCCAAGCTCTTGAACTTCTTGCACAAGACTGAACAAGGCTTGCTTCATAGCTTTGGTTCGGGCTCTTGTCATTGGACCTCCAATATGTTACAATGGGTCTTTAGGTACGTTGGATTGGAAGTATTGGGCTCCTTCTATGTCACCATGCTCATGATTACCATCCTCAGACTTCGTTGCCATTAATGTTATGTCACCTGTGCCATGGGGCCCATCAGTTATCCTCCGCGCTCGCAGTACCAGAAGTTCATCATTCCTCATGAAAACCTCCCATCGTCATCATCACCATCATCATCGTCATCTTCTTCTTCTTCTTGGCCAAACCAAGTAACAGAGCATGTGAAATCTTCAAATAGAGCAGTTGAATCCTTGCAAGTCATTTGTGAAATCTGCACAGAAATTAAACGAACTACCGAGATGATCAAGAGCCAAACATGCCACCATTCGTTTTGCTCTGATTGTGTGACAAAACATGTGGCCACAAAAATCCAAGACAGCATAACATCAGTTCCGTGTCCTGGTTTGGATTGTAAGAGTGTTTTTGAGATGGAAGCTTGTCGGCCATGGCTTCCCAAGGACTTGCTTGAAAGGTGGGATCAGGCTCTGTGTGAAGCTCTGTTTCTGCAACTCCCAACAATTTATTGCCCCTTTAAGGATTGTTCAGTTATGTTGCTGGTTGAGAATGAGGAAGATCAACAAGCTGCAAAGGAAACAGATTGCCCTGTTTGCCACAGATTGTTCTGTCCAAGATGTAATGTACCATGGCATCATGGAGTCGATTGTGAGGAATACCAGAAACTGAATGAGAATGAGAGAGGAAGTGAAGATTTGCTTGTGAGACAGCTTGCTAAAGAGAATCAATGGAGAAGGTGTCCTAAGTGTAAGTTCTATGTGGAGAAGACAACTGGATGCTTGCATATCACTTGCAGGTCAGTTTTCTTCTGCAAATCTACATGGAAGGGTTGTACTTTTGCCTGTTTTGGATTGATAAATTTGGATTTAAATTTTAATCCTATATTTGAATCTCATGCTTAAAATTTGCGCACTTATCTTTTTTTTTTTTTGTGGGGATAGTGTAAAAAATATCAAAGGATAAAGAGAGAGTTGGATATTTGAAAGGAAAACAAAAAATTAAAAGTGACAAATTTATTTTTATTTTTTAATCAGTGAGAGATGAAAGAAGATGTAAGAGTGATAAAGGCACTAACAATAAAAAATGCAAAGAGAATGAAAGGGATAAAAGTGATTAAAATTTTAATAATTAGGATGTAGTGAGAATTAAAATTATAAAAGAATTATGATAAAAAAATTGATTTATAAAGTCATCAATTTTTATGAATTTAAATGAGAGATTTGATCTAAATTTAATATTTTTTTAAAAGGATTTTGAGCAAATAAGGAGTTAAATGTTGATGGATTAACTAAATGATTTATTTGTGATTGAAGGTGCAAATATGAGTTTTGTTATGCATGTGGAGAAGAATGGACAAACACTCATGGAGGCTGCCAAGGAAAGTAGATTATTTAATGCCAAGGTTTGATAAAGAGCATATCATTATCACTTGTCACTTTGTAATTTTTGCGATGTTTGTTTGTATTGAAGACTTGACATTAACTTGTCCAGATTGAGATTGATATTGGCAAGAAAATTCCACAATCATTGTCTTTTAGTAAAGTATTTAGCATTGTTTGGATTGATGAATTTTGATTTAAATTTTTAATTTAAAATACATAATCTTTATTTTGGTAGTATGAAAACTTTATACTAACAAGAATGAGTTGTCTTAAAAACTTGTGTATTGGCTAAAGCAAATATATAATTAATAAACAAAGCAAAAATACAATCACAAATATACACTCTGGTTAGAGACTTCATGTGCTGTGCCATTTAAAACTCAAAAATTAGGTTGACTTTAACTGCCACAATAGATATTTGGTGTTTTTATCTTGTCTGATAATGAGAGAGCTTGTAGATTCACTTTTAATTATGAGAATATTATTAAAATATTTAAATATAAATGAACTTAAATTGATAGGAAAAGTTGTACATGAATTATATAAAGTTCGGTTTAATAAATCGTGTATAGTGAAATATATATATATATATATATATAAGAACTCATAAATCTAAGTTTTAAAATGCTTGCAATTAAGACAGGCACGCATTTTCATCGATAATGAAAAAAATGACGTTTTAATTTGACAAAAAAGAAAAGGAAATTGGGTGATGGATCATTGATAACAGCTTTTTATATCGGAATAGGCATGTTACTATCATTTAGACATGACGGCTGTGAAACCATGGCAGATGAATCTCATATCAGACCATGTCAGTGTATAAAAACACCAAGTATCTACTGTCGTAGTTAGAGTGAACCTTAAATTTTGAATTTTGAATGTTATATAGCACGTAGAAGTCTCTAAAATAAATTAGAGTCATTTCTATTTTAAGCTCCACGCAATTATATGTATATATCTATGTGTATTTTTGCTTTGTTTATTAACTATATATATTTGTTTATTAATTATCATTATAATATTGACATATAAACGAACTAGGGAGTTAATTAATAAAAGAAGAGAATCAAGAGAAGAAAGATGTTATTTGAAATTAATGGACACGTCTTAAGAGTATATAGCAAGGTGAAATATAATTGATGAGGCTATCCCAAGCTGGCTGTGGTATGGAGCATTGGAAAGCTTAGTGGTAAGAAAATATAGCATAACTTTATTTGGAATTCTAGTCACGAACAACGGCGAATTCATGCCCTTGGTTGAAAGACCCTGTGTGAACCTAAGGAGCATGAAGGGTACGGCCTACGCAATATGGGAGTAATGAATGAAGCATTGCTTTGTAAATCTGTCTGGAGTATCATTGCTAATCCTGATACTCTTTGTGCTTCCCTTTTGAGAGGTAAATATAAGAGGAAAGCTGATTTATCAAAAGGTGCCACAGCTAAATCTGGTGATTCTGCATTCTGGAGGAAACATAGTTGAGTAATGGCCAAAAGTTGTTAACTTACTTCAATGGGACATTCAAGATGGAAGTGAGGTTCTTTTTTGGAAAGACAAATGGCTAAGCAATAGAAGGGCCCTAATTAATTACTGCAAGCAGCAAATTCCTTCAGACTTGGTAAATATGATTGTCTCTGAAGCTGTGAATGATTTGGGGGAGTGGAATCTACCTATACTCTCTTAATTATCTTGATGAAAATAAGCTCAGGATGATTGTGGGTCACCACCCACCTCGACAGAATGAGGGACAAGATAAAACTGGGTGGGGTCCTGAAAGTAACAACGTTTTCTTGGTCTCCTCAATGTATGCAACCTTGAGAGAAGCCCTTAGCGGTAGTCCCGATCCTATCTGGAAGTTGATTTGGCATTGGAAAGGTCCTAAGAGAGTACAAATCTCCCTGTGGTTGGCTATGCACGAGAGGTTAATGACGGCATAAAAAAGAAACAAAAATTTTTGAAGCTTGTAGTAGCTCTGATATTTGTCATAACAATGTTGAAGACGTGCTACATGTAACTCATGACTGCACCGTGGCAAGAGGAGTCTAGCGTGCATTTGTAGCTGCTGAAGAAGTAAACCGATTCTATTCCCTTAATAAAAAGGATTGGTTCAACTGGAATTTGCAGAATGGAGGACATCAGAATGGCATTAAATGGGATTTCCTCTTTGCAATTACAATCTGGTACCTTTGAAAAGCTAGAAATAATTGGATCTTCAACAGAGATAGTACTTCGTCAGAAGGGCTCAAAAGGAAAATCATTGATTTTGCCCAAGTGGTGCAGGTTAGCATGCAAGATGATGCAAGACTAGGGGCAATATTAGGATATCGATGGCGCTTCGAGGGGTAACCCAAGCGCCACTAGTTGTGGTGGTATTTTCCGTAACTCTAAAGGGAAGTGGATGGGAGGATTTGCCTGTGGCTTGGGAGTTGGCACAGCAAAAGAGGCTGAACCCTGGAGTTTCTACCATGGGATACTAGTGGCACAGTCACTAAACCTCACAAGACTTATTGTAGAGAGTGACTCCATCACTGTTGTAAACGAGTTCAAGCGGCCCTTAAAGACATTAAAGCAAAACACTGGCAAATACGCCAAGCAGTTTGCCTTATTCATGAGGATTGCATTGTTCAAGTCAGGCATGTCTTTTAGAGAAGAGAATATGAGTGCTAACTGGTTGGCTAAGTCAACCTTGTATAATTGTTACGAGAGTCGTATTCTTCTTGAACCCTTTAGAGGGCTCGGTGAGTGGTTGTATCGAGATTCTATGGGTCCTAATGGCCCTTTTCCACCGTTAGTTAAATAAATGCTGGGTTTTGTCCCGTTGCTCACCAAAACAAAAACAAAAAGAAAATACAAACACTCATATCCTTACCACTCATATCACATTGATATTTTTACGCCAAATATATATTATATATATATATCACATTGATATGGATCCATATAAGAAAGTTTTAATAATTTTTTTATGACTAATCTAGTCTATATTTAATTTGGAGGATTTAATTTAATATTATAATTTATATGTTTTTATATATTGATTATTCAATTGTATTTTGTATAGTTCAATTTAAAATTTTAACTTGTAATTTTTAAAAAATTTACAGTTAAAAGATTATAAATTTTATTTTTTAATATTGTATTTATCAAAATAAAAAATTTAAATCTGGACCTTGTAGATGAAAATTTAATATTGAAACTAGGCAGTCTAAAGTACATGTAAATTGTCAATTTAAAAAATTATAATATTAAATTAGATCATTTAAATTAAGTTAATATTATCTAGATTGATGATGAACGTATTTATAAAAATTATAAATTTTTATTTTAATAAATTTAAATTTAAAAAATTCTAGGCCATTTAGAATTACATCCAAATTAAAATATGGATGGCCGATTTTTTTTATTAGTGAGCACCCTGGTGCTTAGCAACGAAGAACCCCATTAATATGGTTCTCATCGATAAATATCACTTTGGATTGTAGCATTTGCAACAATCCAAATGAAATGTGTGAATCGTTGCGTGTCATCTATGAAATTTGTGCAGAAACTAAGGATATATTTGAATTTCAATTGGATAAAATTGATTAATAAGATTGATTTTTATCAAAATTAAAAAGTAAAATTGAAAAGTAGAAATGAAAATTAAATAAAATTATAATTTTGAAAAATTATCCACACATTCATGTTACATGTTAAAATTAATTATGAATTCAAAACTATCTTTTTCAAAAAATATCTAAACATCCATTATACATGCCAAAATTAATTATGGACCCAAAATCATAGTTTTTTTTAAAAAATACCCAGACACCTCATACATGCCAAAAATTATAACATCTCAAATTTTAATCTCCTGATTAATTAAGCTTAATTATGATAATTAAATAAATTATAGTGGTGGTGTGTGAGCTAGAGAGATCTAATGACTGCCTTTAGGCTGTGTTTTTAGCCCTAATTATGAGTTTGATGAAGAGTTGAGCCAATTGGGCCTCAAAAGGAGAATAAAATAAAGAGGAAGTATTGATGTGCCACACCACCACAGCATGAATCACGTTTGCTGCAGTGCATAAATAGATATTGAAGCGAGAGGAGACCTTTTTGTGCCATGCACCAAAGGCAGAGCGGATTGTGCATTCGTTATGGGGTGTATGGTCATTTTTTTACAAATTAAGAGTTGCGATTTGAGATTGAAACAAAAAGAAGAGAAAGGATAAAACGAAGAGGACGAGTTATGCTCTGCTAAGGTTCATCCTTGGAGAATATTTGGGACACTTTGAAGCTACTAAACACTTAAGGTAAGTATCCTAAACCTTATTCATCCCATTTTCTTCCACATTTATGAGTAGATGGTTAGGGTTTGATAATGGTAGATGAGTTTTCAATACATATAAGTTATAGATCTGAATATATTTACTCAAATAAAGTTAATATGAGTAGATTAGAGTATCTAAACCTAAATATATTGAGTTTTGGCATTTTTGGTGGTTAAGCCTCATTATTATGCAAAAATGACGTAAATGAGGGTTGTTAAAAGAATGCAATGCCATTAATGAGAATTTAATAGCTCATTAATGTTATTGAAGACTAAAGAAAATTAATAAACTCAATGGGTAGGGCCAAACTTATATAAAATGGACATTGGGTAATCTAGAAGTAGAAGATGAGAGTTGTTGAATGTGTGTGTTTGGCAATGTTGATGAGTTAAAGAATTGATGATTGTAGATTAAGTTCTTAGACACTATTTTGGCTTGAGAATTCAAGCTTGAAAGTTATACTATTGAGGGGGTAAACCTTTGACCTCTCAAATGTTTGAGTTAACTTAGGGAACCTTACTTTGGGTAATTGTTTGTTAATTGTAATATGAGGTGAATTATGTATTTAACATGCAAATTGTGACTTGTGAATGATGAAACATGCAATGAAACTTAGTGTTTACATAATTGCTTGATATGTATTAAACATGCGAAAAATGATTGTAAAATAATTGCTTTTTTATAATGTGGTTTGGATGGGTAATTGATAATGTGATTGATAAGATGAATATATGAGATTAAAATGATGAGTTTTATGTGATGTAAGTGAAAATAAGAATTAATGCTCATTTGAGTTAGCGCATTGTTGTGAGCCCAACA